GACATCCAGGAGAAAGGCATTGTGTTGTGGTTGTTGAGGTGAAACACTGAGATGACAGACTTAGTTGGATTTGGTAACAGCCTCTGCTTGCAGAAATATTCTGCTGTTATTGACAGGTCTAACACCAGTGTGTCTTCAATCTCTCTGAAGGTCCTTACCTGTGTGATTAGTGCCAGGTCATCATGATATGAAAATTTCCTTGAAGACATAGCAGGCATATTGCTTATATAAATGTTGAAGAGAGTTGGGGCAAGAATATTTTCCTGTGGGAGGCTGTTACTTAGAGTCCTTGGTCTGCTCACTTTATCCCAGAGGTAAATTGGTTGCACACATCCATTGGTTGCTCAGAAATGTCCACAAAAGGTGGAGCAGTCTGGCACACGGAAGAAGGCAGGGTGCTTTTAGGAATAGACCATGCATCCAAACAGTTGCATGGTTTGCTGCAGAAAAGTCAATGAATGCAGTGCTGGTCATAATGTTGTGCTGGAAGTCAGCCTCAGTGTTCATGGTGAGGGCAAGCTTGGTCACAGCAGCTTCGGTGCAGCATAAAGCCAGCTTGTTCTCAGGAGATGGACACCTTGGCAATTGGGCTAATCCTTTGGAGGATAAGCCGCTCCAGTAATTCATAAATTGTACAAAGCAAAGATATTGGCCTGTAGCTCCCAGGATCACTGGCTGGTTTCTCCACTTTCAGCAGAGCAATAACTAGTGCTTTACTTCCACAGGGGTGGAAGATGACAGCCTGTGACAGCTGAAAATTGTATCTAAGGTGCTTGCTGAACACTCTGTGAGGATTAGACCAGGTGTTTTCTTGTTGTTTGTTTATGTATGGAGCTGCATGTTGCCACTAAGAGTTTAATTAAAAATAAAGATTAGTGAGGCCTTGAAAGTGGCGGCACAGTTAAAATTAACCTGATCATAAAAATGCAAAGGCTTGTACTGCTATTAGTCAGTCATAAGGAAAGTTCATAGTGAGTGGCTGTGAGTCCACAGCATAGCTCAGAAGTTATAAATTGGCTAGCACATCCAGAAATTATCAAAAGGGAGATGCACCATTGTAAGAGAAACTACTAATTTAAAAATTGACTGCTGACCTGGATTTGATGGGCCCATGGATCTCAAGAAACCCAAGGACTGAATACCAGGGTCCTTCCCGGTACCCCTCAGACAGTGCAGATTGGGGACATCTGACTTCGCTGAGCTTTATAGAAGAGGAACTTGTCATGCATCAGAGGGGACTGCCAATAAGTTGCTGATGAGAACTGTTATTGTCTGTCATTCTTGTCTTGTTATATTACGTGTAGTTGAGTGTTTGTTAAGTCAATAAACCTTTCTTACCTTTTTACCCTGGACCACTCTCTCAATCCCGAACCCTCCTGCTGGCAGCTGGGACAACAGCTTACTCAAGGCCCACCCTGCTACTAGGAAATCCAAAACAAGAAAACCCACATTGCAACAGAGACCAAATGCCCAACAAGGCATTGGAGCAACAACCATAGAAATCAATAAAGCCCTTTTAAGGGTTCTTCATTTATAAGATTAGGCCCTGGAATCTATTGATGATGTGTCTAATAACTGACCAGAATAGATTAATGTATTTTGAAATACATACATTAGCAGTTCCCTTGTTAGAAGACCTTTCGTGAACTCTCCTACCTTTCATAATATGATAAAGTCCAACTTGGCACAATGCCTGGTGTATAAGCAGGTGTTTTTAGTAAAGTAATAACCTGTAGTCAGAGATTCAGCACAGAGATTTTGTGCAGAGATTCAGCACAAAAATAGAGCATTCATTCTTTATTACTATACCCTAAGCCTGGTACCACAACAACTCCACTATGTGGTCCTGTTAACATGCCAGCTTAAATGCTGAGCCAAATCCTACTCAAGCTACTTGTATCAGGGAGGTAACAGGTAAAATCCTGTATATCTTCTGAAGCACATTCTGAAGTCAAGCAAAAGACAGGGTAGGGTGGCATTACCCTGTCCTGCTTTCTGCCTAACTTCTGTTATATGTACTTGTTTGGTTTGGGTAGTGTGGATGATATTGTAACACACCCTAAATGCCAAAATCTTGAGTCAGGCCCACCCCTACCCCACAAATTAATAACATTCAAAAATATTCTTTTAAATTGCTGTCTGGTTGCTGAGCCTTAAAGGGTACACTGACAGTCAAATTTTTGTGCTTTACCATGCAACCTTGAAAGCTACAATGCTAAAATTCTAGATGACGATGAAAGTTAAAATTCTAGTGTATTCACATCACTCCAACAGCTGCTGCTTGAAGAAAACCTCAATTATTGCACAACTCGATAAAATTTTAAGTGTTTGCAAGGCTGATATTGACTTTTACTCATTTCTGAAGTTTCATTTTTAGTGACAAACTTCCGAGACCCTTTAAATTGCCCTCCCGTTATCTTTACTTTTCCTTTTGCTGAAGCATGCATCATGTTATGAACAACTATTGTAGCAATTTGTTAGGGCTATTGCTCAAGTGTTCCAGTGTCATGCTTGGCTGAGTGTCAGACTGTAATGTCATACTTATTTGCAGAGTTTCAGATTTTTTTTTTTAATTGTGTAATCAAAGAGGAGGAGGAGAAAAAAATCCCTATGGACAAGTATATAAGATGTTAGGGACAGTTCTGTCTTATATCTAAAATGACATGTAGGCAATGAGGTCCCCACCTCGATCTCCTTTGCGTCACTCTGGTGGAACAGAGGTTGGAAAGTTGCCCTAAAATATTCCACTAACATAGAAAGACACCTTTATGCTGCTTACTTCTCCAGTCTGGGGTGAGTTGAGGTCTTATGCTGAGGCAGGCAGTATGTCCAGAAACAGGGACCTGTGTTACTGTACTTTTAAACATGTTGACAGCCATACATAATTTCAAGGCACAGCAGTTTGACACTTATTGCAAACAAAAAAATTCCTTTAAGACGAAATCCCATCCTCACTCCCAACTCAAAAGTCAGGGTGTAGGATCCATGCAAGGAACAGCCCTGGGCTTGGGAAGGACTAAATCTAACCCATAATCCCACCTGTAGATGTTACTACATCCTCTGGGATCGACTTGATGATGACAACCTTGCAGAATTTTACATAGAGCCAATGATCAGTGTAACCACTGATTCAGTGGGCAAGCTGGTGTCACTCTCTTAGTAGCATTGGAGTGTTACTGTAGCCACAACAGTCCAGGAAATGTATGTGAAGTAAGGGTATTTTGCCATACATTTTATTTGACCACCTGCACAGTTGAGAGAGATGTTGGACCAGATTTTGGGCACCACTGTATGTGTGGTTGAATATAAGATATTGCAGAAAAACTTTGATTCTCATCACTGTCTTTCCTAACTCCTCTCCCACTGTGGTTTATGTGTACCTTGAAAAGAGCTCAGCTGTGCTGCACACAGGCAGTACCGAGATTTCCTGCACAGCTGTTTCCTTTCTCTGAACAGCTCAGCCTGAGGATTTTCACCTCAACTACCATTTCTCTTGCTTTAGCGGACTGCTAGTCTCAGTTATGTAAGCAATAAACATTTTTTCAGTACACTCATTTAACAAAATATATACCATTCTGGTGCACTTGCATCTCCCTTTGATTCCTGGTCCACCCAGAGTTTAAAATTGACTGCCCTGCAGTGGCAGCAGGATTTCTGGTCAGGTAGTGCTGAGGGAGTCAATTGACTTCATGGCTCTGGATGATGTACCCCATCCCTTCTAAACTCTTAATTCCACAGGCGTTAAGGACCCCCTCCTCTTTGTAATGGTCTTTAAGATCCACCAATCAACCTCTCCTTTGTTCTGCCCTACTGCTAGCTGCTCCTGGCCACGAAGCTTCTATTTCACAGCTCTGCAGATTGTAACTCATTCTAATGAAGCTACATTCGCTTCTGCATCCATTTTAAACTGAATGATGCAACCCCAGGCCCCTAACCTATTAGTAAAGCTTCTCTTTCTTAGCTGGAAAAAATGTGTTGTTTTGTATATGACCAAGTTCAGCATCTGCACCCTGCTTTTCAAAACCCTGCCTGTGCCTCAGGTCCATTTCCAATGCAACTAAAAGATGGTTCCTTTTCTCAAAAACCAGATGTCCTTGTTCTTAAAACAGGGGAGTGGACTGTAATCCCAAGTTTCCGGCAGCGGGTCAATTCTCGTAATCTCTGAGGGCTTCCATACCCATGTTGACACAAAGAGAATCATAAGAGAGAGGACAGGTCTCTGGGGTGTCCCAGTTGGGGTGCATCTAGGTGGTGGAAGTGGCAAGTGTTTTTCCAACCTAGCTCCGCTTTCATGGTACTCTTGGATAAAGCCTAGAGAGCTAAGTCCAGCAGAGCTGCTGTCCAGAATCAGTTCTCCCGTACTGGACCTGAGAGCTCTGTGGAGAGTGGAGGCAGCCCTTGCAGCTTCACTTTGGACACTGGAGCCCACCAAGCCCCGCTGCAGCAGGGCTGCTGCGAGGAGAAGGGGCGCATCGGCTTCAACTCCTCGGGTTGTGGCTGTCTGGGGTGGCTTGCGTAGGGCTGATCCTGCCTCAGGCAGCGGATGGGACTAGATGCCCTTCCAGCCCCACTTGGCTGCAACTTTTATGACTCACCAGCAGCCCCATGGCCCCTGCTGGTGGCACGGGCTGCCGCCTGCCCCCTGTGGGCAGCGGGGGCGGGTGCGGCGCTGGCAGCTCCCTCTGCCGGCTGCGAGGCGGGAAGGCGCCTTGGCGGAGAGGCGCGGCGGGGGCGGGCGAGGAGCGGCTTCGCGTCCACCAGCCTGGC